GTCGGATGTTCAATTGCTGCAGTGCTAATTGTAAATATTGGGAACGGGTCGACAAAGGAGAATCCAATGGCGGATCGAGTAGCATTACCGTTAACTCAAATGATCATGTGCTGGTCGAAGAAGTTCAACAGTTCTCTCGCTTGTTCGAATCATTTTATCGGATAGCCGAAGAAAAAAGTATTGAGATTTCGTTGAACGTGACAATACGCAAGGCAAACGGAAGTGCAAAAGTGGATAAGAAGGGGAAGGGACCTGCTTGAGTAGTAGTTATGTTGTTAGCTGTGTGGTTCCCTACCACTTTTGATGTCTAGTATGTATCACTTGTTGTGTAGTTGGTGAAGTGAAGATTTTTGTGTAATATATGCTTAACGAGAATTTGTAATGCGAATCCACTGCTTATATATCTGAAATGTTAGTGTTATTGCAAAAATCTTATTGTTTCCAAATCGATTTCCCTGTGCCGATGCCTTGGTATAAGAAATTGTCATTGTATTTTGATTTGACTGAAAATTTTTAGCTTCACAAATAGGCTGTGATAACTCAAAAAGACTTAAAAAGCTGTAATAACTCAAAATCTTAAGAAGCTGCCAATAGACACAGTAATAACAAAACTAAAAGTTTTAAGATCATTGGATAATTGTCTCTTCCTCAAAAAGTAATTTTATTATTTTTTTTGTAAATCATCTCCACTTCAGATAGCATCCACCAGCATCTTTCACTAACTCAGTGAATATTCAATTTTCCACCAGCATCCCATGAGCTCGCGACTGCCACCAATCTCCATCTTTACAGGCTGCCATCACTGTTGCCTCACCCATATAAAAATGCAAATTCCCCACTACGTGCAGTTCAATACAGAGGCATTAACAAAGGTATAAATGCAGCTTCAAAGACATTTGCCAAAAAGCCTTCATCACATGTTTCCGTCACGTTGGTGAGGTGCATTTGGATAATAGTACGACATTGAATTTCCTACTATCAATTAATGAATTCATTACGCAAACTAGAGTATGACTTGAAATAAATTCACTAAGGTTAACTGCATACCTTGACCATTGAATAATGAAGCCAATGGGAAGAAATTTGGAGACATTCCTTGTTGTGTAAATACATGACTGTCGCCATCACCCTACACAAATTTCATGATATAACTAAAATGTGGAAATCAAATACATTGGTGAATCGAAATAGACGAACCATTAGAAGCTGTGAATATGAGAGTTGTGCTCGCATATCTTCATTCAGTAGTTGATCATGTACCTGTGCAATCGGTTCGACCTTTCCTAGTTTACTTGGCTTCATTTCTGTTTCCTTCCCTTAGCTGAGAGTTGTGCTCGCATATCTTCATTCAGTAGTTGATCATGTGCCTGTGCAATCGGTTCGACCTCTCCTAGTTTACTTGGGCTTCATTTCTGTTTTCTTCCCTTAGCTGAAATCGAATGTGACTGCATAATCAACAGATAATAACTATACATAACACCGTATTATTAAAAAAAATGGTCACATACCTTTGCAGTAATGAATGCTAATTCCAAAGGGCTTTTGTTTTGAAGTTTCTTCTGCGCCCCTTTTCGCTTCAAGCATTTTGGATCTTGTACACCTGAATTACTATTTTGTTGAGACGCTCCACCAACCTGGGACATGTAATTACTTCCACAACTCGATGTTATGCTAAATGAGAGTTTTTTGGATTCTATCCACTCCAGTACCTCGTGGAATCGATGATCGTCATCTGTAGCCATCTTCGCAAGTGACGCAAATGACTGACACATCTTATAATATTTCAACTGGGGAGGGGTACTACTCAAACCATCATAGTTCACTGTGACCTTGGTATGAGCTCTACGAACATCGCGTTTTCATCTGTGTAATATATAGGTGTCCGGTAATCTTGTGATGTTATTACAGAGAAGTACAGAGATCGCATGCCTACAAATTATACATTGAAACTCGAATAAGTAGCAACTGCAGACAATGTAGCATTTATGTCTTTCAAATGTCACAAAAAACTTCTGCTAATTTTCAAATATAACATCCTCCGGCGCCTCATAGATTGTGCCCGAAAAGCCCTCTGATGAAGATATGAGGTCGCAATAAACCTTCCCAATAAATTCATCCTGAACTTCCCGAAATTTTGAAATGGTGTAAACTTGTTGAAATTGTTTCTCCAACTCATACTTCGTTGTAGACGGTATCATTTGTGAGAATGATTTAAAATCAGCTTGAAACTCCTTCTCTACATTATTCATCAATACTCTTTCATATTGTTCCACAAATTGTTTCAGCGACGTTTTCGAGTGCACATAACTATCGAAGAACGCATTCATACTCTCACTACGCTGAGTTGTTGACATTCCTGCCCAGAAGCTGCTTTTTAAAAAACAAGGTACCCACTGGCCTCTGTTCACATACATTCCTGACAACCACTCATTATCATGCAAGGAATACTTTTTCACCATCGCGCTCCAACCTTCGTCAAATGCTTCAACAGTTTGAGAATCATATACCAGTACGTGTATAGGAGAAAAGATCTCACCCTTTTCGACGTGGTATCCACATTTCTCTAGCAACTTTTTCATTATGTGCCATAAAGACCATCTGTGTTTCGTGTTCGGGGAACACGATATGAATAGCATTCTGCATGGCCCTGTCTTGGTCGATAATAATCCCAATAGGAGCTTGCCCGTGCATACACTCAAGCCAAGTCTTAAAAAGCCATACAAATGTTTC